CACTGCGGAATATCTGTTAGATTCCGATTCAAATGGAGCGCGGAACAGGCTTCCATGAGTGTGGGTCCAGTCTGTACATGTGGACCGTGTGACTCTAAACTCCTCGGATTTGTGGTGTTAGCCCACTGTGGGAATTCCGCTGGGCGACAGTAAAGTTGTTTATCACCGAATCGATCTGAAACGTTTTAGAGTCTGTTGAATCGGGATTTGATATCTGCCACCTTCCGGTCGGAATGTCGCCTGAAACAGATGGAACCGTCTGTTTCAGGCGACATTCCTCGATTTGGATTTATAGTCATCAACATTTGTGTGGATAGCAAGAAGGGGCGTGGTGTGATGGCTTGTGCACCTATCTGATCCAACGAGCTACAGAGGATGGCTCTTATCAAGCCAAAAGTTCGTATTGCGTCTGCAAAGTCCGAGTGTAGAGGCCAGACAAAATCCAATCTCCAGGTTAGGGGTCGGTCTCGTGTTGAAGTCTTGATAAAATGCTGCAAGATTGGTTTATCCGAGTAGAGCGGCTTCCACTTCGTCTTACCCGTGACCTTGTTGTTAGATTCTTGCTAAAAGATTTGGTTTAGAACCCTGATTGTTCTGCTGTTTAGCGGTTCAACTTGCTGTTAGCATCTGTGCATCCAACTTCAATAATAATAAGAGCATCGGAATTTTTAAACTTTATAGTGGATGAATTGACCCTCATTTTACAATGTAGTTAGTAATTTCCAAACATTTAAATGGTTATATCTTAAAACACACTAATTGAAATGTCAGTTATGTGGGATAGCTTTAATCCGGCACAAATGCATAGACTTAGTATCCCTTTGTTCCATGCGTTCACCTATTGTCAGAGGTGAGATTTTCTGGGGACAGTTATCTCTGAGCCTAGGAATCAGTAACTACTCTGTGGGAATAATTTTTTTTCAAATGCATCGTCGTTTTTCTTCCCGGATTTATCTATCACATCAAAACAATTTTAAAATGGTCAACCCAGCAGTCTAGATTAAAGGAAAAACTTTTCGTTTCCCACTCTGTGCAAATCGATCGACAAAACTGACCTCTTAAAAAAATCAGTATCTTTTCTCATTTTTGAACATACTGAAATCTTTCTCGAAAATTGTTTCTGATTACTTTCCCAGGTCAGTTGGGCACAATGGTGCTCTTCTTCGGTTGTCGTCGTTTGTCTGAAGATTATATTTATGGTGAAGAATTGGAAGAAGCTAAGCGATCCGGTTACTTGCAGTTGTTTATCGCCTTCTCACGTGATTCGGAGGATGGTTCTAAGGTGTACGTTCAGGACCGCATTCGTGAAGCGGCTAGTGATGTCTGGCAGTTGTTAGACCAAAAGCGCGCTCACGTTTATGTTTGCGGGTATGTTCTTATCATCAATTCACTCGTTTTCATTCCATCTGTTCAGCTAATCGGTTTTATTTTCCCTCTATGTCCGTAGCCCATTAAAGCGGTTTAGCACAACACCCCACAACCTTGTTTGCTCGTCCTATTGATAACATACTTGCTGTTAGATGTTATAAGTCACCGGCATTTCGGTTATTGGGGGGAATCGTTTATCACGATAGGTTTTACAATCAAATAGCAAGATGTGTGTGTGTGTGTGTGTGTATTGAATCACGTGGTTGGGTGGGCTTTTCTTTCTGTCGCACTCCATCCCGGCGGCCATAAGGTCATGTAGTATTGTA